AAGTTGGGTGGTTTGTTTTTTGATGAGGTTAAGATCAAAGAAGGCTTATTATTTGACCCATCATCCTGGGGGTTAGTTGGCTTTGTTGACTTGGAGAGTAGAGATGTTGCTGGTACTGAAAATATTCAAGATAGCTTGGCCCACACATTTTACAATTTTATTTCAAAAGTGTCTTTGCGAATTTTCAGTATCCATGTGCAGATTTTTTAACTAAAGGAATCTCAGGGCAAATGCTCAACAGATCTTTTTGGCAAGCAGTTGGTTTACTCCAGGCTTATGGGTTCACCTCAATTCTAACATGCTGTGATGGGGCTGCTGAGAACAGATCATTTATGATGATGAACTGTGTTGATGAAACAGTAAGTCAAACAAAGAATCCATTCTCTGATATGCATTTATTCTTCATTTCTGATCCTCCACATTTAATGAAAAAGCTTCGCAACAACATTTATAACAGTGGCTCCAAAGTTATTTCCCCAAGATACACCAGGTATTTGTTGTTGAACTCAAAACCTATATTGTGGGAACACATTTATTCAGTGTACCAAAGAGACAAAAATAGACACCTATTTGCCACAGATATGAGAAGCTCGCATGTCCATCTTGATAGCGTAAGCAAAATGAAAGTGAAGCTCGCTGTTCAAGTGTTGAATGGCAAAGTACATGTCAGAGAGAAATGGAGGCATTTGATCCAGTTACCACAGAGTCTACCCGGTTATTTATCCATCACTGTGATCTGTTATGGAATGTCCTAAACAACAATAAACCACTTTCCACCATTACAGATTCTAGGATACAGGATCTTGATATGTTTTTGCAATTTTTTGTTAATTGGAGAGATGATCTTTACTTCTTGTGCAAAACTAAATCTGAGGTCTCATCACAATTTATTTCCTGGCAAACAATGTTTGATCTAAAGGTAGATCACTGTGTTTGAGTTATTTAATTTAATCCAGCAGCACTACCTGTCACATTTATTGCTTTTTTCATGTACTGCACTTCCAAGCTGTTTTGAAAATTAGTTTTTTGCGTAAAAAGCAGGGAGGAGTCCCCCCATCACCATGAAGCATGCAGGATCTGAAATTTGCAGTATCCCAATGTCCATGGGATACTGAAATTTGGTTTTGGTAATTTGGTTTGAGTTTGCCAACCAAGCCTTTCCTCATGTTATGTGCATTTTTGTGTAATTAATGAATTGTCTAGTTGTTGACTGTTGAATTCCCTAAAAAGAAAAAGTTAAATTTTCAGACCCGACATTAAACCAGATAATCAGACTACTTTAGTTAAGTGATTTTAGTTTGAAGTTGGGGCCGCAGTAATTGGCTTGAGCTGCTGTGGATTCCCTGCCATGTGCTGATAATTAATATTTGTACAAGGGCTAAGCTATTAAATTAAATTAAACTATTAAATTAAGTATATAATGGCAAAAATTTTTTTACAGGTTTCAATCAATGGCTTTAAAGCTCTGGTGCAATTTATTGAGAGTCCACTGTTCCAGTCGAAGCATCCTGGTAACCATTACATAATTCCCAAGAGAATTAGTTAGGATGTGGTAGAATTTTTCTCTGTCCAACGTCAGTCTTGTGGGGGAACTAACAACATGACAGCCTATACCTACGGATATAACATTAGCAGCACCCTCGGGTCATCGACAAAGCTTCTATCCAAGAAGGAATCAAACGTGTACAACACTGATGATATAGAGCTTGGTCACTCAGAACAAAAGGATTCCGGTCTTGCTAAGAGAAAAAGTGTTCAAAACATAATAGATCGAAAGCTGTGGCCCATACATCTTTAGCAAGCCATGTATTCTTGAAACATCTCATTCTTTCAGAGTAAAAACACTATTATTACAACACTACAAAATCACACTTTGCTCAAACATTTGTGGTAACAGCTTGGTTTAAAACTAGCCCAACATAGTAACAGTAAGTTTGAGAGGAAAACTAACAGTGCTGGTTTAACCTTTTCCGGGGCAAAACTTATTAGGGCCGGTCACAACATGCGAATTAGCCTGTAAAAAAGTCCGATTTCTCCGGCTAGATCGGACCATGGATAATAAAATAAATGAATAGGAAACTAGCTGACGTGACCTAATGTTATCAATGGGATGATGGCGTGGTTGGATGTTGAAACCTAGTTGCAAACCAAATTCTCAAAAACGGCATGTTTAGCAATAATACAGCTAAATATTTTAGTCAAAGAGCAAATAAATATAACCATGCCATTCTTCGATGAAATCCCTAAGTATTTCCAGTCAATTTTAGCAAATATTTCAAGCACTAAACAGTGAAAAATGCATCCCAAATTTCGTTAAAATTGGGGACGCCAATTTCGTAGCTGCAAATGTAAAAAAAAATACAAAACAAAGACGAAAAACATTTACCTTGAATACTTTGTCGTGGCTTAGGCATGTTTTTAAAACAATTAGACCAGTTTATGCTTCAATATTACTCTTTTAAAGCGGAAATAAAGCGAAACAACAAAAATGCCGAGACTTTGGCAATACGCGTGACGTCACAGATTGCAACCAGGTTTAGACTGTAACGTCAGCTAGAGTCCTATCCATTTATTATCCATGATCGGACATATAAAACTCATATTGCAGTTCCTCCGCTTAGAAAATGCTTCAGTTAGGGCCTGTTCATATGGGCAGAAGTTATCTCGGTTAGCGAGAAAACTTTTCGACAAGTTTACGAGCGAGATCTCGCCTTGTTACGAAAATAATATGAAAAGTTACATTGCATTCATATGACACGAAAAGTTTTCCCGTGTACCATTTCCTCGGTGACCGGGATAAGGCGAGATCTCGGTGACCGGGATAATGTTTTCCCCACATGAACACAACTTTCCCGCTTAGCGGGATAACTTTTTGTCGTGTCAGCAACTTTTCAATTTAATTGATGTTCAGTGCCACGTCACAGCCGGAAACTTTTCCCGGTAAGTGGGATAATATTTTTCCATATGAACAGAACAAAAGTATTTGGCTAGTCGAAAAGTTCTCTCGTTAACCGGGATAACTTTTGCCCATATGAACAGGCCCTCAGTTTTGTTTAAACGACGGTATACCGTATGGTTGGAATATTTTATATTAAAAATGCATGTGTGAGTGGTGAAGATATTCCAATTTAACATTGCATATATTTGTTACTGTAAACACTGAGGTTAGTGAGGTTGATGATGCCCCTTAGATAATCCAGCACTGGTACTAAGTGGGTTTCTGCTAATTGTCATAACTTGCAACTGAGAACTTTAGCTGAATTGCAAGGACACAGCTCATTGTTATTGGGTTGAAGGCTTTTTAGGGCACCTCTGGTAGCATTATTGACTATTAGTATAATTTTAGTATTGAAAAATGGCCTTTGAGCATTCCAATTCGTTCCCTCAGTGGTAACTCTGAGGCAATAGTTAATGCTCAGAACAGTAGTAACTATAGTTATTGCTTTTCTCAAAAATCGGGTGGAAGTAAATTATTTAGAGAAATTATATTCATAAAACAAACATGTGTATTAGTTAAAAACTTTTTCAATACTGAAATTATGCTAAAACGATTAGTCGCCTCAGGCTCGGTGATTACAAGCCTGATTCAGTTCGGCTCACTGAATATAGGCTGGTAAGCATTCTCTGTGTGTGAGGTACCTGGAGAAAAACTATGTTTTTCACAAAAATGTCATGACTCCATGTCTTGAGCCTATTAGGCAGTAATCAGAGAAGAAAAAGAGAGAGAAAAAAAAAAAAAGAAAAAGAGTCTCACTACAAAAAAAAAGAGTCTCACTACTAGTACTACTAGTACTTAAAGAGTCTCACTACTAGTACTTTTAGACTTGAGTGCTGCATTTGACACTGTAGATCATCAAGTGTTATTGCGTCGTTTTGAGGTCAGCTTTGGAATAACAGGTACTGCCCTTAAATGGTTTAAGTCCTATTTAACTAACAGATCTCAACGTGTGCTAATAAATGGTAACTACTCCGAAAGTTTCTCTCTCCCTCATGGTGTTCCTCAAAGCTCTTGTCTCGGTCCGTTGCTTTTCACAATCTACGCAAGCAAGCTATTCGAAATAGTTAAGTGTCACCTGCCAGACGTGCATGCGTATGCTGATGATACTCAATTATACCTTTCTTTTAAGCCGGACGGTGCTACTAATGAGCTTGATGTTATATGTGCACTACAGAATTGTATCAAGGATATCAGGACTTGGATGACAGTTGATAA